CGTTTAGTTTTTAAGGATATTCGATAGAACAATGATCATAAATGAACCATTGAAGAAAATAGCATGAAATATCTTTGCACCACCTCCAAAAATGAGCCTAAAGCTTTGATTTAGGGCCAATGGGTTGTCTCCCAACTGGGAACACACCACATATGGCAGGCCTAGAGTCTGGTGATTGAGCAGTTTACTTGCTTTGGCACGACTTTTTAGGACACTTAGGTCGAACAATGATGCTATGACGCATCTCCTTACCTGAAGTAAGGATCTTGTGCCTACAAGCACACTTTGTCAAGCCTGCTCATTAAGAAAATTGATTTTCTATATCATTCCTCGCAAAGATACAAAATCATCATTTTTCATAAGTGGATTCAAGGGAATATATGTGGACTAATCCAACCAAAATGCAGACCATATAAATACTTATGGTTTTGGTTTATGAATCGACAAACTGGTCACATGTTTGTCCACATACATTACTGCTAAACCTCATGGCCGATTAAAGGTTCACCACCCTACTTATCCCATAAAGTCCGGGAGACTGTATAATGTTGGAGAGTTTATATCAACGGTTTTTATAAAGTATTGCATGTATTTTGGGTTTATAATTGAACATCGAAATCCCATGTTCACCCCAAATTGCCTCGCCTAGCAATCATAAAGCGCAATTTCAATGATCGCCTGGATTTTGGAGAACATACCAAGTTTTCAATTTTTGCCTAGGGCTATGCAATATTGTACGCAGCTATGTTGGTCCACCTTAAGGCCCATTGTCACCCAACCTATTTGACGTTACAGTTGGTTACTGGTACGAACGTAATGATTTTCGTATTTATGCATTTGGGTGTGCATTCCATGTGCCAAATTGCTTCGCCGCAACGTACCAACATGGGTCCACAAAGAAGGATGGGAATCTTTGTCGATTATGATTCTCTTTCACTCTAGCTCTCCTAGAGCCCTTGCACGCGATCTCTTTATCGCTCATTTGCGAGTTGTCACTTTAATGAGACAGTCTTCCTGCCATTAGGGGGAGATAAGAATGTCAACGTTTCTGGAGAACGGCGCGAATTTGCATGGACGTTGCCTACTATGTCTCATCTTAATCCCCAAACCGCACAAGTGTGATAGGCAAGTGCGATAAATTCTAGCTTTCAAAATGTTGCTCCAGACTCATTCCTCTGATCTAGCTAAAGTGACGAGATCATATATCAACTGCAAACATACATGAAAGGATAGACGTACTTAACGGACGTCGAGTCAACATCCCTGTAGGGTGTGCCGCCCTTGTTAGACGGTTTGGATACCCCTGTTAGACGGTCCGGTACACCGGCGGATAGCCAATCAATTTGTCTTAGCCTGGAGCACACAGATCACTCGGTTCATAGGATTCACTTCCCTAGAAGAGGAAGACACGACACAATAATGAATCTAAACTCGATCGCTGTCTCAAATCATTTCCATCTCATGAGATTAATCCAGATTACTCCTAAAACTTGAAGTTCTTGGTCCAGTATACTAGTTTGATGAGCTAAATGAAATTGAAATGAGATTACCATCGATGATGTTTTCACTTATATGGTAGCTATCGACATAAATGAAAAGCGACGATATCGAACTGTATTCCGTTGATTAAGTGACAACGTAGAACTGATTGGACAACCAAAATTACAATCCAGGTCAAATTCCTTACCAAAGTATGTAATGGACCTGTCGTTCCTAGACTGCCCAAGGTAACCCTATTGTGTTCCAAATGGGAAATGAAGCGTTATGAGATGAATGAAATAGTGCAATATGATGCACACCTTACAGCGCAAGGTTTCTCCTAAAATGTCTTGTGATTGATAGCAGCATTATGAAATGTGGTTAGTATATTGATATGGAGATTTACATGTAAGTTTCCGAAGAATTACATGGACTGGTTCAAATAGTTTCAAACCACAAAACACCCTCTTAACTTGTTTTAGGCTTTCACTTACAATCCGATGGATGTGGTATACCCGTCTAAGTGATTATTTGATCAGTCAGGGATGAATTATGCCCTTGCGTGTTAAACTATGAAGTCTTATTCCGAATTACTAGAGTTATAGTTTATGTCGTTGACACGAATCTCACTAAGACTCTGGAAGAGCTTGAGAAAACTGTCTCGCACCTTAAGATGGAATTTGAGATGAAGGATCTTGGGAAAACTCGTTTATGCCTTGACCTAAAGTTCAAGCGTTGTTCTGATGGTACCTTGGTCTACCAATTAAACTACATCCCGAATGTGTTACCTTTGAGTATACCTTTGATCGTCCATACGTTATATGCAAACGAGACCCTTGAAGAGATTATGGAATCTGAAATTCCATATCTGAGTTCAACTTTGCGCTTCGTTGTACTTAGCTCATTGTATTAGACAAGACATCTCCTTCGCTGTTGGTCTTGGTAAAGATGCAGCACCACGCCTACACACAACCACTGAATTGGTATCAAAGACGTACCCTGAAGGTACTACGAATTTGAGCAAATCAAATCCTGACACATCTCTAGCGGATCCAATCCTCTGATCCTCGGAATGATGTTTGCCTTTTTTATTATGTTGACGCATGTTACTTATCAAACCCGCATAGGGTAAAATCCCCGAATGGTTATGTCTTTACCGTTAGGGATTTCGCAATATCTTGGAGGTCCATGATATGACCTTAGTTGCGAAATCTTTGAATCGTTCCAAGACTCACCTCACTTCATTACGCCACAAGTGAGACATGGTTAGGTTCTTGTTGAGCATATTCAAAGCACTTGTTGTGTTTTCATCCATCGTTGAGTCTTGACGACGATCCATGAAGATTATGCCACATGTATCAACTCGACCAAGTCATGATACATCAATGAAGTCAACACCAAGACATATTGCGTGTACATCACATCAGCACAGCATCAGGAGATTGAAGTCATGCAACCCAATCCTAGACAACCTTGCCGACCTCTACACGAAGTCACTACCGAAGTCAACCTTCCAGAAGCTTGTCTGAGGAATTGGTATGCCTAACTATTCATATGCAATGTGCTTGTAGTTCTCAGTTGGAAGTTGTCTCAAACTCAGGAGGAGTATCCAGAAGTATACTCACTTGATCTTAATATACTCTTTTTCCCTATGATTAGGAGCATTTTTCCCACTAGGTTTTTGCTACCTAACTAGGTTTTAACAAGGCACCTATCCTGAGCTGATCATACCCTTATGAGCTCTTCTACTTGCATCTAAAAGACGTATAGTTTTGACTTAATGCAACTTCTCACTTTTCTCCTTAGTCTATGGGTTTTTCTCCCACCTTGGGTTTAACCATATCGAGGGTTTGTGAGTTTTACTTTTTTATGCATTCTTCCGTTAATTTGAGACTCGCGTTCGCTCATTGTGCCAATGATTTCATCAACTATACTTACTTCATCATTGAAGACCTGATGCGTCATTTACTTGAGTATTTACACACTCAATAGAGAGTGTTGCAGTCCTATTAGAATAGTAATGTGATTGTATAAATCCTAGTATATCTTGGAATATCTTTTATATTCTTGTTAAGAGTTGATTACCTATTAAGAGTTGTAATCCTAAAAAGGTAAGAAATTAATCTTTTCTACTGTTATAAATAAAGACACAATAAGATGAAATAGAACACACCCCTCAATTATACATCTCTCTCTTTCTCTCTATGTGCTGCACCCCTCTCTTTCTCTATGACCTCCATAACTATTCAATAAATTATATCTGCAACAACTCCTACATTTTCTATCATTATCTTCCTCCCTCCTTCTACTTCAAAAATAAAAAATTAAAAAATTTCATGTGCCCCATATGCGAGTAATAATAATAAAAACAACGGCCACGACTAGTGACTACTAATCGTGACTATTGCTTGAAAGCTACGTGAGGTTTTGGCAGTAGGCTTTAGATGCTCTTTTTGATTCCCATCTCATCCACTTGTTGTCCACTTGTTCCCCATGTTCTGTTTTCGGTGCCCAGCAGCAGCAAAGAAAATAAGAGCAGGCTTTTGTTTGGCCTTTTCTGTTTGAATGGCACGTGAGTGGCTTTAGGATTTATGGCAGCTGTGCTCATGGTGAACGACAGCGAGTACTGCTGCTGAAAATCGCCATTTGGTTGCCTGTTCATCATCATGACACGTTATCTTTTCTCCATCTCCCTTTTATTATAATTATAGTTTAACCCCATTCCCATATAATTGAATAATTTAGCACCAATGGTAGGAGAACCGGTTCGTATCATTTTCTTCCTTCTGTCAGGGGCGACATCTATTATTTTGTTTTAAACAAACATTTGCTTAAAAAAAAGCAAACATTTTTTCCTTTTAGAAATATGTAGACAGTTTAAATACTGATTTGGTACTGATTTACTTTTATAAAATATGAATATCAAAAAAAAATTAAGCTCAAAAAAGTAATTGGTAAACATTTAAAAACAGCTTATTTTCACAGTTTTGTATGAAGAAAAAAAAAAAACTGAAAATGCGAAATAGCAAAAATAAGTTTATTCTCACAGCACAAAAACAGTTTTTTTTTTTAAAGTACATCAATACTAAACCTACCCTCATTACGATTCAATCACACTCTCCAATCAATCCCATTCTCCAACAAAATTAACCCCACTCTCCAATAAATGATATTATTTATACTAAGTGGATGGGCCTATCGACCCCACTCTCTAACAAATGATATTATTTATACTAAAAGGATGAGCCTCATAATAAACTAGTAATAATGTGGTTCAAATTTGCTTTTGACGAGAATCGAGTTTAAAACCTATCACTGACCAGTAAATAAAAATACTACTAGAATATAATATTAAGTAACAAAATCTAAATTTTATATGTTAAAAATTTTAACTCTTAACCAAAGGTTGAAGACGATCTCAATGGGTCTAGCAGCTTTTACAATTTTCATATTTCAATTTGAGGATTGTACTGTACATTTTATTAACAACGTACACCATTTTTTTTGTTTTTTTTGTGGACTTGAAACTAGGAGTAGTTGACTTTGCCAGTTCAATTCAAAAACCATCTGCCCCTGGTGCCATTTTGCAGTGCCCATCAGACATCAGAGAATCGCTGACTTGCCAACAGATGAATACCGCGGGCGGCAAGTACGACGTGTTCTTGAGCTTTAGAGGCGAAACACGCAAGGGCATCACGGACCATCTCTACCATACATTAAACGACTACAAGTTCAATGTCTTTCGGGACAAGGACCGATTGATTTGTGGGGATGTTATAAAAGAAAATCTGAAGCAAGCAATCAAAGAGTCCAGGCTTGCTGTCATCATGTTCTCAAAGGGGTATGCGGGATCCAGATGGTGTCTTGACGAGCTGGTGGAGATCATGGAGTGCAGCAGAACACAGGGTCAACATGTTTTTCCGATTTTTTTCGATGTTGATACTTCAGATGTCAGGCATCAGACTGGTAGTTTTGAAACCGCGTTCAAGAACCATGAACAAAAGTTTGAGGAAGAAATGGTCCGCAAGTGGGGAAATGATTTTAAGGCAACTGCAGAGTTTCAGAGGGATGAACAAGAGTTTAAGGAAAAGGTCCGGATCTGGAGAGATGCCCTTCATGCAGCTGCAGGGTTGAGCGGCAAGGACTTTCAAGTGACTGACGGGTAATAACTTGCTTATTTCCCTTTGACAAAGTAATTCTTTAAATCATTTTGTTTTCCAAAATTTAATTGCAAAGCTTAGAAACTCTGATATGAGGATTAATATATGAACGCTTGATCTATCTCACTTGATATCAGTTTGTTCGGTGATGACTAGTATATTGGTACATTTTAATCCTTCAGTCTCATAGTAAATCTTACTTTTCCTTGGTTATGAATTTTTCATTCCAGGCATGAAGGAAGTTTTATCAGGGAAGTTGTTGGCCAGATCGCTACAATACTGAAGAAACCATGCTTAAATGTAGCTACAAATCCAGTTGGAATAGATTCTCGCGTGCAAGAAATCAGTAATTATTTAGATGTTGAAGGATCAAATGATGTTCGCATAATCGGAATTTGGGGGATGGGCGGACTAGGGAAGTCAACGATTGCAAAAGCTATTTTCAACGAATACCAGCACAGGTTTAGTGGTGCATCTTTTCTTCCGAATGTGAGAGAAGATAAGAAACTGGTTGATTCGCAAAACAAACTTCTGTTTGACATCTTGAGATTGGGCCACAGAAAGGTGGGTATGCCCGATGAAGGGACCAAGGAGATAAATACAAGACTTCGCCAAATAAAGGTTCTTGTCATTATTGATGATATAGACTCTGTGGCCCAGATAGATACATTGGCTATAAAACGTGACTCGTTTGGTCCAGGAAGTAGAATTGTTATAACAACAAGAGATAAAAGTTTGCTAAAGACACCTGAAGTGGTGGATAAGGCATGTTCCCTGCCAGCAATGAATGACGATGAAGCTCTTGAGCTCCTTAGTTGGCGTGCCTTTCAAAAGAGTTCTCCTAATGAAGGATTCCACAAAGTCTCAAGAGAAGCTGTTCGTTATTGTGGGGGTTTACCACATGCACTTAAAGCTGTAGGTTCTTACCTACATAAAAAAACCCCGAAAGAATGGACAAGTGCATTGAAAAAATGGAACGAATCACAGCCTTATCCGGAAATTCATGAAAAGCTTAAGATAAGTTATGACGGGCTTAAGGTTGCCCAGGTGGAGGATATATTCCTTGATGTATCCTGTTTCTTTACTGGAATGGACAAGGACCGCGTCATGGCCATATTGGATGGGTGTTACTGTGAGCCAACAACAGATATTGAAGTACTCAAGGAGCGATGCCTTGTAACTGATGATCCAAAGGGTAGTCTGATGATGATGCACCGTTTGATTCGAGACATGGGCAGAGAAATTGTACGTGCTAGATCCCCTAAGAAGCTTCAAAGTCGCTGTAGATTGTGGCATCATGAAGATGTAATAAACGTTTTGAGGAAAAAAAGTGTAAGTACTTCCTCAATCAAATTGCATTAGAAAAAAAATGCTGATTTTATTTACTGAATTATTTGAAAATTATCCCTGTAACACAGATGACTAATATAGATTGTTAAAACAAGACTGATGTCTAAACAAACTCTATGGCATTGATCCAGTATTGGTGCTCTGCACCGGTTAAAGTCTAAGAAAATAACCCTTGTCTTACTTTATTTTCTTTTCCTTTCTAACAGGGAACGGAAGAAATAGAAGGAATCGCTTTAGATTCTCCAGAACCTGACAAGCTTAGCTTCAGTACAGAAACATTCAGAAATATGCGGAACCTGAGATTACTCAAAATAAAAGGCGTAAAGTTCACTGGAGACTGCGAACATCTTCCCGATGAGTTAAGATGGTTAAGTATGTCTGACTTGCCTCAGCAGGCCATCCCAGAGGATTTTAATCAACCAAACGTAGTTGACATCGACCTGAGTTGTAGCAATATACAAGTCTGGAATGACAACGTGGTAAAATACATACCCAACCAAACTATCAATTCTTTCCAACAGATTTTTTAAATACCAACATCATGCTTTTTCTCTTCTATTGAATTTTGATATTTGCTTTCCCATTTTGTCTCACAGTCACTTGAAAAGTTGAAGTTTCTCAATATTGGTTCTTGTGATAACCTGAAAGAATCACCAGACTTTTCAAGAATCCCAAATATTGAAAGATTGATACTCGAAGCCTGTAAGAGTTTGTCCAAGATTCACCACTCCATAATACAATTGAAGAACCTAAAGTATTTATCTGTTGCGAATTGCCAAAACCTTCAGAAAATCCCAGATTTACCAACAAAATTGGAAATCCTGAAAGCGGATGAGTGCATTGCATTGGAAGAGATGCCAAATTTTTCAAAAATGTCGAGTATGGTAGAACTGCATCTGAATCACTCCCCCAAACTCACTGAGATTCTAGGCTTGGATAAGTCGTTAAACAATATGATAAGGATTCATATGGAAGGGTGCACCAATCTCACTGCTGCTTTTAAAAAAGCAATCCTACAGGTCATCTCTCTCTCTCTCTCTATGTATATATATAATCTCGGTTTGTACCCAACTGTATACAGCTTATATGTATCAACTTTTTTTACAAATCTTACTCCATGGTATAGGAATGGAGCGCGAGCGGAAATGGTGATCTTTTTCTCCCCGGAAATGATCTTCCATCAGGGTTTACATGCGTTGACCTGAAGGATGAAATATTTATGCCGCAATGTTTTGGCTATGATGCAAAAGCATTGACTCTGTGCGTCGTTTATTCTTCAGACGACTCCAAATCCAAGCACACTGAGTTTTCAACCCCTCTGTATGCAACCGTAATAAATCGCCATGAAAGTTATATTTGGCTGGGACATTTATCAAACAATAAGCTCAATGTGAACGGTGGGGCAAGGATAAATGTTGGTGCACACTTATCACGACACAGGAGTACTGATGATATTCATCTCAGGGTGCAGAAAATAGGGGTTTACCAGGAGCAGGAAAATTTAGTCAATAAATTTTCCAATCTTATGGCACGTTCAAGTGAGTATGACAATGGAAATAGCCAATCTTATGACATGTTCAAGTAAGTATGACAATGATGTCAATCGTATGCAAGACTAGGTGATGACCTCATTAAGTGTTTAATTGTGTGTTTATGTGTGTTTTGTAGATAATTTCAGAAATGAAATTGGAGGAAGATTATGAAGTTTTGGTATTTTTTTTAGAGCACAAGTTGTGTTTCTCCACTGTATATCCCTTCAACAATGTAACAGTAGGCGTACAGTCGCTACAAACAATGAGAGAGAGAGAGAGCCTATGAGCTCAATCTCAGCCATTCATTCACTGCTCTATGAGAAGATATTTCATATATAAAGTATCGACATTAACAAAAATATCGATAGTTTAATTTACGATTGAATCAGGACACTATCTAAAAGATATCATAGAATCCCAATAGGATTTATACAATCAGATGCTTAAACTAATTAAAACTACAACACTCTCCTTTGAGTGTGTAAGTACTCAATCAAAATGTTGCATCAGGTCTTCAGTGAGGAAGTTCAGCTGGTCAAGTCAGCAGCATAATGAGCGAATTTGAGTTTCATTTTAATTGAAGGATGCATTGGTTGTAAAACTCATAAAACCTAGCTATGGTAAAACTCAATGTAGGAGAAAAACTTATAGACTAAGGAGAAATATGAAAAGTATGCATAATGTTAGAACTATACGTATTTATGAAAGTAGAAAAACTCACAAGGATATAACCAGCCCAGGATGGTGCCTCGTTAAAACCTAGTAAGGTAGCAAAAATTCAATGACAAAAATGCTCATAATCGTAAGAAAAAAGAGTACATTAAGATCAAGCAATTCAGATCATAAGGAAAACGTGTACATTCAGTGCATCCATTTTACTGAAGTTTCTGAAGTCCTGTTCGCCAACAAATTTCCAACTAGCACACTCTCCATAGCCTGGCTAAACATGAACTAGGAAAATCAAGTTTTTGTTCTCTTCAACTCCAAGTTTCTGTTAGAAAGCCTCAACCATATAAGCATCAAAGACTGAAAAATGAATACTATAACTTGTAGTTAAACAGATAATGAAGTCCAGAACTCGGCTATCCTCAAATGAACTGAAATCCTTCCTAAAATTTCAGTTAAACCCACGCACCCTCCGCCCTTTTTCCTCTCTCCCTCCCTCCCTTCCTCCCTCCTCAGATGACCTGAAATCCTTCCTAAAATTTTAGTTAAACTCACCCCCTCTCCCTTCTTTCCCCTCTCTCTCGCTCTCTCTTCACACACATACATCTAAAACACATACATTATAAGGCCTAAACCTATTGATTTGAGTCTTAATTGTAAATATTCTTGAAGTCTTATTTTAGGTAAGTTAGGATTTTTAATCTTTAGGATTTAGTTTCCTTTTCTTTTGCAACTTTTCTTGCAGAACAAGGATTCAAATGGAAGGGTGCACCAATGTGATTTCAACGATACCCTGCAATCAACCCCATCTTTGGATGTGCGCTTATTTGGCTCCAAGAACCATAATTTCAATTTATGCACAGAATGATAGAATACACATGGCTCTGGCTCTATAATTTCATATAATAAAATCTTGATAATAGATTATGTATATACTTAAATTCGTGACAAAAATGATGATTACCATTCACGTTAAAGCAATTACATAAGTAACACATTAGGATATGTGATAGGAGGGACAAGCACCACTTATCCATTTTTTTCTTTAAAAATGAGATCAATGGTGGCTTTGCCACAATAGTCCACCTTTCTAGGGGTCGAGAAGACTCACGGAGGTATTTCAGTCTCCCTTGATTACTATCATATAATTTACCAGTGCCAGAAATCGAATTCAAAATCGCTTATTCATCTAAACCCAACTTTTATCTACATAATTAAATATTCATAATTATATAATACTAAACTAAATAAGGATTGGGACAAGGTATTAATTTAACACCATTCCCACATAATTGATTAGTTTAGCACCAACGGTTGTAGAACCGGTTTGCATCGTTTTCGTACTTTTATCATGGGTGACATCTATTATTTTGTCTTAATCAGACATTTGGTTTTTTTTTTTTAAATAAAAATAAATAAATAAATAAAAACATTTTATTCCTCTCACAGATATGTAGGCAGTCTAATTTGGATTCAACCACACCCTCCAATCAACCCCATTCTCCCCTTATTAGAGGTCATGGGCAATTCCGACTGGATTTCACCTCCGTCAGTGGAGGTGCGCATATTTGGTTCCAACAATCATAATTTCAATTTCAGGACATAATGTTAGTATACGATTGGTTCTATAATTTCACATAATAAAATCTTGATAATAGATTATATATATATATATATATGTATATATATATTTATATACACGCACCCTTAACTGCGCGATAAAGATTATGATTCAGTACCATTCACGTTTAAGCAATTACTTAAGTAACACATTAGGGTATGTGTAACGCCCCACTCCGAAATATTTATTTCAGAAATTAATATCGATGGTAGGCCCAAACTAAACTCTTGTTTAATTTACTACCATTAATTGCGATCTTTTAATTAAATTCCTTAATTCCACACATGATGTATAACCATAATTCTCTTACCAAAACATACAATTATATTCTCAATTCTTTAACCTCGTTTATTTTATGGATGCACCTAACTTCTTGTTAGACTGCCTCATACCCTTCGGAGGGGTCAAGCCATTCGTAATTCACATTCACTTTACTAAAAGATTCACATTCACTTTACTAAAAGATAATTGAACACACATATAACACAATCATCATCATCATCAATACACAATCCAAATCATGTTTAATAATCATAGGTCTATGGCTAAACATATAAAAATCACATTTCAATAGAAATCATATTCATAAAACCGAGTCATATTCACAAATGATATTAATATAAGAAATTAAGGTAATAACCATCTCACATATATTCAAGTCAGTCTCTAACCGATGTAGGCCCCCCAAACTTCACTTAGTCTCCCGTAGTACTAATTTTAGTATTTAGAATGTTTCGAGACATGTTGACCAAAAGTCAACTCTCGATAAACAATGGGGTCCTCATCCCTACGTAATTTGATCCAGAAGATCCACACATTGGATTTTGGATCCGTAATCTTCTAAAATACACATTATTCCACTAAAACAACATACTAAAATTCCATCACGATCCGACGGTCGGATCTCCGTCAATTTCTAGAATTATGTGGTGATCAACAATTTGTTTTACAAACTTAGAAATCCAATTCAGGAAGATCCGTAGGTCGGATTCCTGATCCATCAGTTCCTAATATCCTCAAATATTACGTTCTATTTTGTATTAAAGTTTGGAGACGATCCAACAGTCGGATCGTCGATTCATATTTTGATCAAGTAGTGTATCATAGTGAAATTAGGTTCAAACGATCAAATCACATCATACGAATATCAAATACAGATTCAGGACATCTAATTGAACTTAGAAAGGCATCGTCGGCCCACTAGCCAAAGCGCTACCGCAGGTGCCGCCGCGGGTGGCGGTCGGCCGCCCCGACTCTTCGGAAAATTCAACTATTTAAAAAATTACCAAATTTTACAAGGTTGTAGATCTCAATTAGTGGAGCAAGTTTCATACCTGCGGCCAAGTCCAATTTGGCTGGGAAACACAAAATTTCCCATGAACCGCAGGAAACCCTTGATTTTTGATGTTCTTGATTCAACTCCAAAACAACTTTGATGCCCCAACCAATGCATGGGCTTTGTTCCTGAGATTGAGGGGAGTCTTTAGGTGGTGGTGGTTGCTGGAGTTACCTTCGGATTTAGTGGATCACCCCCAATGCCCGCCGCACCCACCGATGCATTTCTCTACAAAAACACCACCAATTTCCTTTTAATTTTGGGTGGAGATGGAGTAAGGAAGGATGATGCTTAGTCTTCATGTGGCGGCAGGCTTTGAATCACTGGAAAACCGACGGAAAAGCGTCGAAAAGGTGGCGCACAGGTCGAGTCCGAAGGGGTATACAGGTTAGCCCGTTTCTCCCCATTTTCTTCTTCTCTCCTTTCCCCCCTTTGCCTCCTCCCTATTGGTCCGTTCCCCTCCTTTTCTCTCCCGCACTCTCCTTTTCTTTTCATCACAGCCACACACGTGGCTCTTAATCAAATCTCCCACAAATCTGGAGCATTCCAAATTTTACAATTAAATGACTATTTTGTCCCTAACTTTGAACGTTAATAACTTTTTCATTATAATTCCGTTTCACGAACGATTTGCGCCTATGCATTCAGAGGATCGAGCTCAAACCAACTACGTCAAGAATTAAGATAAAATACATGAGGATAAAATGCATCCCCGTATAATTATGTTAAGCCAACTAGGGCCCGTTATCGTTAAAATTTTACAACGTAAATTATAGTAATTTCCAGAAACAAAACTTTAAAATTTTCAATTAAATTTTCATAACCATAAATTGATTTATTTTTCGATTTTCTCTCCACATAATCATATATTTAAATTTTCAGGGTATTACATTATGTGATAGGATGGATGAGCATCGCTTATCCACTTTTTTTCTTTAAAAAAGAAGACCAGCTCCCATAACATTTATACTCTTTTAGGGGCCGAAAAGATTCACAAATACATTTAAGACTCCCTTGACAATTATCATGTGATTTACCAGTGCCAAGAATCGAATCCAGAGTCGCTTATCCATATAAACCAAACTTGTATCTACATAATAAAATATTCATAATTGTATACTACTAAACTAAGTAAGGATTGGGTCAAAGTCTTAATTTGACACCATTCCGACATAATTGATTAATTTAGCACCAATGATTGTAGAACCGGTTTGCATCATTTTCTTCCTTTTGTCATGGGTGACTTTTGTTATTTTGTCTTAAGCAAACATTTGGTTAAAAAAACATTTTCTTCCTCCCAGAGAAATGTAGGCAGTCCAAATTCAACCACCATCCAATCAACCCCATTCTCCCTTCATCAAAGATCGTGGACAATTCCGACTGGATTTCACCTCCGTCCGTGGATGTGCACGTATTTGATTCAAACAATCATAATTTCAAGTTCTGCATAGAATGTTAGAATACGCTTGGCTCTATATTTCACATAATAAAATCTTGATAATAGGTTATATATATACTTAAATTCTTGACAAAGATTATGACTCAGCATCATTCACGTTAAAGCACTTACGTAAGTAATGTATTAGGGTATGTGATAGGAGGGACGAGCATTGCTTATCCAATTTTTTTCTTTAAAAAGGGAACCAACTAGTGGTTTCGCCATAGCATTCTTCTAAGGGCCAAGAAGATTCATAGAGAAATTTCAGCCTTTCTTAACCATCGTCGTATGATTTACG